TGGTACGAGACACAAAAGATTTATTCCCATTTAAATGCCGGAGTGCTCTAACGATAGCCACTTGTGGTTTTTCAGCAAAATATAAAGAAATCAGACTATCACGCTTTAATTCCATCACGAGTAACTTTTCTTTGGAAAATTCTCACCATAATGCTTTTGTACGCTTGTGAGCTGCCACTGGAATAATTTTAACAGCTGTCGGACGAGTGGTTGTATATAGTAAGTGCCCATTGAGATCTCAAAATACAAATTATAGGCTTAAAAATGCATAAAATTTGACGGTATAATCGGTTGGGGACGGTAGTTCACTGCCCAGATACTAGGGTGAAGATGTCCATATTTAGGAGCAGCTGTCAAGGCCTTCTAAGATGTTTCGGCATTCGTTCGGGTTCGGCTGCTGTGGGTATGTTCGGTTTTAGCTATTGGGGTCGTCTACTATGGCTAGGAAACTATTATAGCTAGCAATACGGGTTATGACTTCCTCTAATTAAATACCAATTTTTGAGTTATGATACGGTACGACAAGCCGAAACTGCTGTGGAAAAACTAGCCGAAGCTCCTGTGAAGGGAAGAGGGGGTGATATTGTCCGGAAAAATACAGATACATAGAAATACAACAACGTTATGATAAAAAAAAATTGTAGAATCTGCTCGATTTTGATCGAGTTTTGCTCTCACTCAAATACGAGGAAGATATGCTCATTCGTATTCGGGCGACAGGGAATAATTGAGTTCGCTCGATGTTTTTTTTTCTGCTATCAGAAGCGCACTTGCTCGAATTCGAGTGAGTTTCACTCTTTGTACAACTTCGAGGAAGTTTTTCATAGACCTGGTTTAAATGAATTGCCAGCCACTCAGCTTAATGAGGTGCAGTTCAAATATTATTCTCAGATAAAGTTTCTGGAGGACAAAAAATGGTTCAGAAAATCTTTAACTACACTTTGTCATCGCAACACAAACCGAATACCATATGTGACCTGCATGTGAATGAGAATTATTTGCCTTATACCGTAAACGGCATATTGTAGAAAGCTTAGTTGTACCTTACGCGGCCAAGGAATACTGGGCTGGTAGGTTGACGATGTTCTCTTTGCTGTTGTCTCATGTTCCTGTGGTATTGCTGTTGCCGTTGTTGGTACTATTGATACAACGGGTGGGGTTCGTTGTTCGGACTAATGCATGTGATGAAATCATCATGTTACACAACTATATTTCATATTTGAAAATTTTAGATCTATCAGAACAATATTTAGTAACTTTTCGTACTCAATTTCGAAAATGAAAACATTTTTTGCGCCAGTAGTGCGAAAGGGCTGAATTCTAACGCTAAAAGTAGATCATTTTTGCTCCAGACCCCACATTTTAATACACATACATATTTAGTACGATTTTTATTATTTCCCATACATACATTCCCACGCATACTACCGATGTAACCTTACAATAAATTTTTAGAATGCCAGCTCTGCCCCTTAAGATTTAATTTAGTTTTAATTTAAGACTAACAAAAGTTACGAAGTATACAAATACAACAGGAACTAATAGGCCAACAGCATTAATGTTATCTCTTTTGTAAGTTTTGGCACTCTTTAATACAAAAAAATTACGAGTTTAGAAGATTTTTTTGCATTTCCCGACAAATCTTAATATCAAATTTCAAAATTTTGACGCTTAAAGTGCGAAATTAACTATTTTGTATACCTTTGAAGCACGAATTTCGCAAAAACACCAACTTATTTAATATTCCGCATCAGCAGTGACCTACATGAAAAAGTTTGTGATACCATCTCAAAGGGAATAGAATTTTAGTTTTTTTTAGTACAATTTCCAAAAAGTTTGGGAGTTAGTTAATTTTTCCGTCATTAGAATAAGACTTTAATAAAGAATAACTGAATTGAATACGAAAAAAGGAATCTTATACCAACCTTAGAGAACCCTTTTTTGGTCCAGAGAGCACTTTTTCAGAACGTTATATTTTTATGAAACTCAATTTCCCATAAAACCGCACAAATCGTTAAATATCAAAAAGATCACAAATATAAAACAAAGGGCCTTTTCCTCCATTGTATCAAAGTGTTTCGAACATTCAGTACAATGCTTACTCATGACACCCATTCCATTTTATTTTAATTGGTATTTTCTTTTTTTGCCCAACCTTCATAAAAATCCATTGCTTTCCCTATCGAATTTCAATCTCTGTTCACATAAACCCATTGTATCAATCCCCTCAAATGCATTTTATCCAACTTAAAGATGTTTCAATAGTCCTTTTTGTTTGTTTAATCTCTGGATCTATTGCCTACTTTGTATTGCAGCAGATTATCTGCTTTTGGGATCTATGCTATTGTAATCTGCTGCTTCCTTTGTGTATGAGTGTGCCCTCCTCAAGAAAAGCAAAAATATCGAACTTTTTGCAAATTGACTGAAACAATGATGCAAAGATAAGAAAATAGGATTTCTTTGTGGAAATGCGCCAATAAAAAAATCAAAACGGGATTTTCATGGCAATCGTCTGACAGGATTGATTTCAGAAAGTTTGCGAACACTTTGGTAAACAGCATAAATAGGAGGGTTAGTTATATACAAAGTAAATAATATAATCGATAACTTCAAACTTGATACCACTAAAGCAGCTACTAAAATGTCAGATATTTATTTAACAAACACAAGATAGGGAGCGTTTGTCTGTGAATAGTTTGCGAATTATTTCTTTATGAACAGTTAATCAAATAAAAGGAAAAAGAAATTGGGAAACGATTTCAGCTGCTAAATACCAGATATAGCACAATGACCGAAATAAGGGCATGTGTATAGATAAATTGATATCTTTAAAAATGAAGAAAACTGAGGAGATTCAAAATATTTTGGTATTAATATGCACAATTCAACTTAAAACAAATAAAAAAGGAGATAAGTTAGGCGGGCCGAACTACCCTCCACCATTTGGAAGGAATTTAAAGTAGTTCAAAAAAAAAAAAAAAAAATAAATAAATAAATAAATAAATAAATAAATAATAAAAATAATCCGTCAAAAAAAGTTATATGGGAGATATGCGAAGACGTGGATGTGCATAAGTTTTTTTTCCATAGACTGTGGTGCCTATTCCGAACTTTAAATATGAAATTTGTAAAAATTCCGGTGGATAATGTTGCTAAGACCCTCAAAATACCGATATATCAGGAGGTACCGTTATGCGGGGGCTATAGGAAAACGTGGACCGACATGGTCCATTTACGAAACTAACTTGCCTACCGGCAAAATACACATGTGTGCAAAGTTTTAGCCTTCTATTTTAATTCGTTCGAAAGATAGCGTGATTCTAACAGACAGACAGACGGACATCGCTAAATCGACTTTTATTTTTTTTACCTTACTTTGTAAGGTCTATCATGAGTATTTCAAGAAGTTAAACACGGAATGACAGTGCCAATATACCCTTAACGAAATGGCGGATGGAATAATAAACAACATGAACTGTGGATGACTACGGAGGGTATATATCATTTGATATGACCAAAACGTGACTCATCGAAATAACGGTTTTAGACCCTAGGTCCCTTTGGACCAAATCTGTTTCAGGACATTTGGAATCGATCTAGGGGTGTCCGTCCTTCCAAAATTATCAAAGAAAACATTTCTCTTCATTTCATTTCATTGAAAGTGATAGGATCATCCGACTTAGCTCAAACATTGCAAATCCTAATATTTTTTATCAATCATAAGTAAGGTTAAGAAATGGACAAGTCCATGAAGTACCTCCCCACAAAGGGGGAATAAATCTTTATATAAAACTTCTATAATTTGAAGTAAGAGTCCGATTGTCTTTAAGTTTCTACCAACACTATATCTGGTAAGAAGAACAGTTAGAACGGACCACTACTTTAGATACCTCCTCCACAACGGATCAAAATTTTGAATAACCATGAAGCTCATAAAACACACAAAGTGTGTACCCGATTCTTTTCAAGATCGGTACATCTTAATATTTCTATCAAGACAGAATAACGTGTGAAGATTGTATATGTCGGCCTACTTCTTCTGGTACCTTTCCTACAACGGGTCAAATTTTAAATAACTAAAACGATGATAAAATTCGATAAAAATATCCGAATATTTTCAAATTTCACACATCTAAATATTTTTATTATCAAATGATCTGTACCGCACCTACAAAGCGTTAAACTGTTCAATAATTATAAATTTTAGAAAAAGTGAAATAATTGTCTTCTAATTCAAGAATTTGAAAATTTTGAATAACTATGAAGCGCATAAAATGCGAAATAAGCATTCGATTCTCTTCAAATTTTACATTTCCTAATACTTTTATCAACAAGACAAGATTGAATATATCGGCCCACTCCTTTTGGTACATCCCCCCTCTTTAACGGGTCAAAATTTCGAATAATTGAAAAAAGCATCCTATTCCCTTCAAATACCTCCACCAAAAAGGTTTACAATTTAGATTAACAATTATTCGCATAAAATTGGAAATAATATCTATCTTTATCAGTATTATATGAAGTGGAGTACTTCGGTCCAATATACCGCTTGAGGGGTACCAAATTATTACATATCTCATATAAAGCAAAGAAAGTAGTCGATATTGCCTTAACATGGCATATTGTAATATTTAAAATAAATGAACATTGGCTGGGGGCATACATCTGTCGGCAAAACCGTCTCGTACATTTTAATTTTTCTATGTGGAATTCGATAGTAAATTTATTTGGATTTAAGGAATTTCACCAACATCTACATTTCTAAATGTTTTGTCTTCGATGACGTTTTAAATGGTGTGCAGTTCAAATTACGAATCTGTTGAGGACCCCGGGCAAAGAACTTAAATATGCGTAAATATGGAATTTTAATATAGACCCCTTTATGGGATATGTACAGTTGATATAACTTTCCATTAAAAAAGTTTACAAACATAACTGAGTTTTATAACTTTCCACATAAATTGGATTAACAAATTATTTTATTTTTTTTTTAATTTCAGATATAATACAAAATAAACAGCAGGAATCTACAACGGTATTTTGGTAAGTAAGTATTAAATGTTGTAATAATTACATTTTTATTTTAATATTCATGAATTTGTAGGAATTTAGTATTTGAGCGCTCGACCATTGATTTACATATAACCAACCATGAGTTATATTTGTTATATTTTATATTTATATGTAACTAATCATTTATTTATGCACAACCACTTTAGGATAATAAAAAATTGTGCGATACAAATTTCGCAATATGCGAACTTTAATGAAATATATGCGAACGCATTTTATGAAAGTTATGTGATTTTTTTTTTTTAATTTTGATCTTTTTGTGGGAGAGGTTCCAGAAGCAGTGCCCAGGCATGTGAGATAAAGAGGTAGAGATAAAAAAACTGCAACAAAGTTAAACGCCATAATTTTTACATTTTTCTTAAATTTTATTGAATGAAAGCAAAAAATGTCGGAAATAGCATCCAATTTTAGAATAAGTTTAGATTTATTCGAATTGGTCACCTTCGGATTGGTATCCGTAGATTTTGGTGGCCATTGTGCGCTGGAAATGAAGCGAGGAACATCATTTTGTATCCGTTCCGCTGCGACGCGGGTTTCGATCAAGTCGCTTCTTTACTTTTCGAACCATTTCTGCTCATATTGCTGTTTTCTTTCGTCCATTTCCTTGACGTCGGGTTACGCTAGAAGTATCACGGTAACGAGCGATGGTAGGAAACACAAAAGATTTATTCACATTTAAATGCTGGAGTGCTCTAACGATAGCCACTTGTGGTTTTACCGCCAAATATAAAGAAATCACACTATCACGCTTGAATTCCATCACGTATAATTTTTTTTCTGGAAAATTCTCAGCAAAATGCTTTTGTTCGCTTATAAACAATATAATGAGATGTTACTGCAATAATTTTAACAGCTGTCGGACGAGTGGCTTAGAAATAACAGAAGTCTGAATTTGTTTGCAGTTTTTTTATCTCATCCTGTATATTCTCTTTAGCCAGAGGGTATAAAAACAAAGAATATGAACTTATTTTTCTCATTATCAGGTAATAAGTAACGTCGGCACAAAGTTCGCATCCGACAAAGAAACGGAGATTGTGAGTTCGAGACTCGACATTGTTCGCAACAGTTGCACTCTGTTCAAAACCTTAAACCGACAAAAGTTGATTCCCAAAATACTTTCTCTTACAAATTTGTCTACTTTTAGTGGTCATATTATAGTTACATATTTCGGCCGAAATGGTTATCACACTCATTATTTTGTAATGAAAGATTTTGATGAGATGTAGGTCGTCTGTAAGACATACGAGTTCTGCAATTTACCGATTCTTGGCTTTCCGATTTAAACATATTAAGGGTTTTAAGAGTTAAAATGTTATATCCCTAAGTCTATGTCCGACGACCAATGTGACGGCCTTATTTAAAAATAATAAAAATGCTCTGTTTTTTTTTAATATCGATCTTCAGTTGTACCTACGATTATTTTTCAGGATCCAACGGCTAAGGTTTATCTATATTTATTTATGGGTAGCTCCTTTTTCGATGAATGATTCTTTCGAAAAAAGTGGGGAAAAACATTACATACATTACATAACTTTGATCTTTCTCCACTTATTACTGATGGATAATGCTTTCCTTAGCTCTCTATCAAAATTATAGACTTTATAGCTTTCCAAAACTTAAGGTTTCTCCATAAATAAATAACGTGCTAAATTGTTAGAAATACCTTGAACACATTTGGGACCTACGTCCCTGATGATATCTTTTGCGGACAATGAACTGAGTGCAATTCCACTGAAACATTTAGGACAGTACCTAATACTGTTACGATAACAGTCCATATTTAAACAAAATTGTATCTGCTTATATTAAGACATGTGTCATTCATAGAAGCTGAATTTATCATTTCGCAGATTTGACAACATATATTTACATCAGTTGTAAAAGGGTTTGCAGAATTATAGATGGTCAACATTCGCCGTTCATTTTTTTGCCAATCATTCTCTAGCATTACTCCTTCATCTAAGAAGGATACAATGATTTGTATACATATATCAAAAGACTCTTTCCCATATTATTAATTTGTCAAAAATCAATAATCGTTACAAAATCATTTTATATCAAATTTTGTTTATTTTATTAATTTTTTTTCATCAATATAATTCCTTTCGCATTATTCCATTGTGTTACTATTGTTGTTACTTATACGCCGCAACATAAATCACTTAGTTGGTAGTATTATGAAACTATTAACTTCCATTTTTTCCACCAATTCAATTTCTTTATTGCTTAAAGCGAAAATTATGTTGCCCTTGGCCTCTAGGTGTCAAATGGAACGAAAAAATGAGAGAAAAATAATAAAAGCACTATTATTATGTTCCACACACACTCAAGTTTATTTCCTTTTGTATGTTGGTGTGTGTGTGGGTGTGCGCGCTAAGTTATCGTGCCTTCATGTGATTATCCTTTTTCTGCTGTTGCTTATCATGATGTGTGCGGCGTTCTTGACTTGGAATTATGAAGGCATTCATGAATATATGTACTCACAGACATCCATACATACATATATGTTTGCTTGTGTTTTCATACACCCACCCACACACTCACATTAAAGTTTTGTGTGGACTTTTTTGTTATTTTGTTTTTTTTACTATGGCTAGGAATTTTATATTATTTTAGTCTTTTTGTTCACTCTTTTACGTGTTTATGTTTGGGTCAACAGGGATTATGCTCTTAAACCCCACTGAGACAAAGCTGAATAGAAAAAAACACGGTTCAAATAATCACCTACCCCGAACCATAGTTACTATTTTTGGCTTTCAACTAATAGTGTTCTTATTCTTATCGGATGTGAGCATTCAGGCGGCCAACTTTAAACGAGAAATGGTTATGGAGGCGTTTGAGGATAAGTTAATACCATAAACTTTGGAATGAGTGTTAAATCATAGTGTACTCTAGTTTAGCCTGACTTAATTCTAATGAAATTGGCCTAATTTACTTACTCTAAATTTGGATTTTTCATTTCAGTAAAGTTTTAGTTAAAGATCTTCAGATAAAATATACCTGTTAAAGCGGAATTTGCTACGGAATTTGTCGGATACCTATTGGATTTAACCTTGAACATCGTAATATTTAGATAAAACATAGCTCAGATGCGAAAAATGACAATATTTCGAAAAGGTTCAAAAATGACTGAACCAATATTGTAAATTTTCGTCTATTTGATATGGATGTCACTGGTGGTCCGTATGGTTGGATACGCGTACTATAATTGCACTAAGTGCAACATAATTTGGTAATGGGGGAAACTGAAGAGCGGAAATTATGAAATTTGATATTAATGTCACAGTTGGTATCTGAGGTTAAGAAATTGAGACTTTTTGAAAACTGTTCGAAATGTACTTTAGCTACTAAATTTGTTATTGGGTGAAGGGATTGAGCTGAAATACTCGAATTTGATATAGATGTCACTGTTGGTGACTGTTGTTGAGGGAAGAATGTGGTTTAGGAAATTCGTACGTTGGGCGTTGGGATAGAGCTGGGACATATGTTTTTTTATTCATTCCGAAAAAAGAAAAACCTTAATAATGTATAATACTTTGAAGCTCTGAAAATTTAGTACGATATTTTGACCAAAAATGTTTGTCAAACTGAAAAAACTGTGAATTTTGAGCACAAAAAGGCCAAACGAGAACTTTTGGAACGAACCTAAAATTTTAAGGTGGACTTTTCGCTCACAAAGTAGCGGGCACTTGCGAGTCTTTTATGTAGCAAATCGAGTATTCTATAAAGTCCGTATTTGGTCTGATGTGATCTTAATACCTCCCTTAAAATGTCAACATTTTGAATGCCAATAACATTCATAAAATGTGGTGTCAGTATCCGAATTTATTCAATCTTATGATATCCCAATATTTATACCCTTACGGCACACTGTAGTACAGGGCATTATGTCTTTGTGTACAGGCAAAAAGAAACGGGATAAACCCCATGTTTCTTTTGATGATCACCATAGAATCACATTCTGAGTAGATTTATGCATGTCTTTCTGTCCATGCATTTTTGTAAGCAAAGTACAGGTAGCATTCATTGTTCGATTAAGTTAAAAAAAAAACTTCACAGATCGTTTGTGCGGCTCTAGGACGAACGCTATTGAATCTGGTTATATTTTCGCCCGATTTAAGTTTATTTGTCCACCAAATGCGGTTTTAGACCCTATGTCTCTTTGGACCAAATCCGTTTCAAGACATTTGGAGTTGATCTAGCGATGTCCGTCTGCCCGTCTGTCTGGCTGGTACGCACGATAGCTCTCGAAGGTAGTACGCGATTTGACCCAAACTTGGTACATCGTAATATTTTTGTCAAACTTAGATCGAGTTCGGAGATGGGCAATATCTGTTCTCTTCTACGGGTATCTCCCCCACCAAATGTTGAAAAATTTCAAAAAAATATATTTTCTGCACAAAATGAGGAATGCTAATCAGATTTTGCTACAACTTTGCAAATCCTAATATTTGCGTCACTGCTAGGTCAGGTGCAAAAATGATCAGTATCGGTCCACTCTATCAAGTACCTCCCACACAAACTGTTTTGAATAAATACAACTTTTATAAAATGTGATGTGAGAATCCGATGGTCTTCAAATTTCACACATCCCAATAATGTTATTAACCCAAGGTCTGGTGTTAAGACGGAATACATCGGTCCGTTCCTTCTGGTACCTCCCCCACAAAAGGTAGAAATTTTGAATATCCATGAAGCTCATAAAACGCGAGATAAACATCCGATTTCATTTAGACTTGGCACATCTGAATATTTCTATCAACACAGGATCTGTTATAGAGGCGGTATAGATCGGACCATTACTTCTGGTACCGTCCCCACAAAGGGTCAAAGTTTTGAATAACCGAAATAAGCATCTGGTTTTCTTTATATTTCACACATCCCATTATTTCTACCAACACAAGATCTGTTGCGAAGATGAGATATATCGGTTCTCTTTCTGGTAACTCCCCCACAAAGTGTCAAAATTT